AAATAAAATTTATAACATTTAAATTAAATTCAGACATTTTCATACTAAAATAAATCTGTTCACTTTATACAACAAACTCGGACATTTATTAATAGCAACACATTTTCTACCTAAAATAGAAATGGTCATCAAATAACTCAAATAAAATCGGCGATTCGAAACCCTTCCCCCAAATCCGAACAGTGCCTCTTCCAAATCCGATTGTCTCGCCTTCCTCGGTGATGGAGATGTCACTGCCCGTGGTCGTCCTTGACCACCTGGTTCACTCCTGGTGACGTGTGCCCCTGATATGGCCATGGTAGCTCAGCGGTCGGTGGTCTGCTCGATTGGCTGCAGATGGGGCACTGGTTGGTGGTGGCTACCCTCTTGGTCGGCGTCTGGCCGGCGATTCGAGTTTCCCCCTCAATTGTTGGTGGGAGCTGCTCTGTGGAGGTAATAAGCCCTTCAACTTTTCCTTGTCTGCGGTCGCTGGGTTGCGCCTTTTCGGTGGGACTTCGCTGTTCTAGTGGGGCCTGACCTCTGGATGTTGGTGCTCTGTGATAGTGTTGGGTGGTGCATGAGCTGACGGGTGGAGCGGGACTCCGATGCTGCGACAGTCCTGTTGCAGAGATTGGAGTTGAGGGGGCGTGCCACTCTCACCCTCTCCTGTGTGGCTAATGGTGTTAGGCGGTGGGGGCTAGGCTTTCTCGAGCTCGACTAATGGTATAAGTGGAGAAGAAAAAAATAATTTTTAAATTAGCTTAGGTTGGATTGGAGATTAGGATATTACGAGAAGCTGTAACTCGTTACACCTATTCCACGGGATAATTAAATCATGCTTACGCTGTTGCTTTTTTAAAACATGAAAAATAAAACATCCAATTATTTAATTAAAACAACTTATCTTGTGACTTGTCCCATTCTCATTGGTATATTTTTTTTTAGAAAAAAAAAAATGTTTGTATTGTAGGGATAGTCGTGGCATCTTATTGGAGATTAAAATAAAACAATAATGATAGGTTACAATACCTTACATTTGACATTTTCATTTTCCGGTTAGAGGGAATCCATTTTGCTGATTAATCATGACAGTGGTCAACTTTCATGTATCGTGTTATAATTAACCACTTCATTTTTAATAAATATCATTTTTTTTTTTCTAGAAGCATACAGGTACGTGCAGTACAATTACATGCCAAATTTGAGTAAAACTGTGTGCTAAACTTGACAAATGGCAAAATTCAAGTTGTTATATTTGGTGGATCTTGTCAAGAGTTCATTAATATATATATCAAACTTATACTTTAATATATCACTATTATACATAGTATTGTATATCACTTGAATACGTAACATAGGTCGATAATTATTATTGATATTTTTTTTTTCGAGAAATACCAATTATATGCTGAGAGACAAATCGGCCGTATGGAATCATAGTTGCAAAATTAGAGATTTAGTACAAGTATGTTTAATTTATTTCTAACATAATTCAGTGATAATACTTAGTTGCAAAATTAGAGATTTAGTACAAGTATGTTTAATTTATTTTTAACATAATACACCATAATGTTTAATTTATTTTTAACATTTACACAATACACCATCCACTACATTATATCCTACCCAAAATAAATTGGGAAAATTCTATTGTAGGGTTTGATATTGGGTATTGTGTCATAATAGAGTCTAAATGTTTAACCTTTTCAATTGAAGGTTTCACTTTTAAGTTATTCTCAATATAAGATCTACTTTTACATTCTACTTTTCAATTTAAAACTCAATCACTTCGTATATTGACATAAGTATGTAAACCACAATACTTTTGTTTTAAGTACTTATAATGAATAATATTAAATATCGTAGTAAAATTACCTAATAAAAATAATTTTTTAAATAAAATTACAGAAAACATTATTTTTGAATAAAATTTATATTTTTGTAAAAATTAAGAATATATAAAATTAATATCTATAGTAAAAGTATTAAATATATTTGTAAACTAGCTTCGTAAGAAAATTAATTCAAATAAATTACATTTATGTAAAATTAATTTAGCTTAAATGAATTAATTTTCTTACTAAAGTAATTGTACTAAAGATATTTATAATTCAAATATAAATTTCAAGCCATATTGTATCACAATAACAAAAAGTCAAGTCCTACAATAGAATTCTCCCAAAATAAATTTTAAGCCTTTAGGTATGTACGGATTAAAAATAGAATTTCAATTTTTTTAAACCAAGTTCTCATAATAATTATTCCTAGTTCTTCTTTCTATAGAAATTTATTCGCATTATTGATTAATAATCAAACCAAAATAAGGAAAGATCCGACCATGTCGACGACTACCAGCTTTTTATACATGGATCAACACACATACGAACATACGAGTGTAACTTTGTAATTTGTATTGCATGATTGAGTTAAACAAATATTGATTGCGTAACTTTGTAATTTGTATTGCATGATTGAGTTAAACAAATATTGATTGCGTGCGTTTGACAGCTTTCTCTTCCATGATTGAGTTAAAATATTCATCTTGCTTTCTTATAATCTATTACTATATATAATAGAGAGAAGAAAAAATGTTTGAAAAATTATTTCATTTTACCGCTCAAATCATTTTTTCCCTCCTAAAATTTTGTTTGAAATTTTTTCGAACATTTGAAATTTTTTCATTTCGAAATTCAGTATGTTTTGGATGAGTTCAATATATTTTGGATGAGATTCCTTCCATATCGGATAAATTCAAGTTCCTTTTGATTAGGAAAAATAGATTTTTATTTTAGCAGTATATTTAACTTCTTTTTTTTTTCAACCGATTATGTTTATTTTTTGTTTAAAATTGAAAAAAAAATCCTATAAAGGAAATATTACAAACAGATTTTTTGGGTACATTCCATTTTATCAAAATTTGTTTGGATTTATATTTTTATTTATTAATATTTTGAAACAGAAACAATAAATGTTTATCATAGCTTTTATTTAAAAAATAAATTTGAATTATCCTACCTTATACTTTATATGAAATTCAAAATTACATATTTTAATATATTAATAAACGTTTATTATTTATTTTTTCATTATGTGATATAATCGAAATTCGATATTAAAATTTTAAATTCAAACATTTAAAGAAAAAGATCCTAAGCAGATTTTTTGGGTACATTTCATTTTGTCTTAACTTCCATATAATCACATTTTAACAAATTAATTAATACAATTACAATTATATAACTGGAATTTTTAAAATATAATTAATATAATATTTTAACTAATTAATCTTTTGTCTAACCGAATTTATCTTATTAACAAACTTGCCAAAATTTTTGAAATTAAAATAGTCAGATTATTCTTACGGGTATACTTACCAGAATATTAAAGACTTTAAAAACGTTTTGAAAACAAATTTGAATTATTCCGTCTTCTACTCTATTTGAAATTCAAAATTAATTTTTTAAACATATTCATAAATATTATTATTTATTTTTCCTTATGTGATATAATGTAAATTTGGTTATATAATTTTAAATTCAAACATTTAAAGGAAAAGACCACGAACAAATTTTTTGGTTACATTTCATTTTATCTTAAATTCCATATAATCACAATCCTAACAAACTAATTAGCATAATATTTTTTTACCCATATTTATATAATCGGATTTCTTAAAATATAATTAATACAATAGTTTAACTATTTAATCATTTGTATAACTTGATTTAACTCATTAACAAACTTGCCAAATTTTTTTGAAATAAAAAAAAAATGGATGATTTTTATTTGTAAAATAATAAAAAAATAGTTTTACTTTAAAGTCTGGATTATTTCCATTGTTTTTTATACGTTAACAATCATATAGTTTTGATAATATTCCTTAAATGAAAAATATTGTATAAAGAGAAGTGTTTAAAGATATATATTTCATTTTTTGCATTTATTTTAATTTCATAATAGACGAGATGTGAAAAATATAAATAATTATATTTAAAATAAAGTCTAAAAAAAAGTTTAAAATATAAGCTCCTCCGTGCATCGCACGGGATATACACTAGTTGGCTATTGTTGATACTAAGCCAGATGACATTTTTTTTTTAATTTTATTTTAGTTTTATTCAATTTTCAACCTTGTTTTGAATTATGTTAGGTGAAGTGCTATAATAACACAACAAAAAACACACCAATCATTGAATCTAATTAGGGTGTGTTTGCTTATAGGAGAAGAAGAGAGAAGACCAAAAGGTCGGTCAATCCCACCCGATGGGGTGAAATGGATGAACAGGACCAGAAGATGATAACATGAATGGGTGGTCGATTAAGACCGTTCGATAAAAGACAGATTGAGTGGACAAGATTGAAGCAGAATTTAATGGGTGCATTGTACGATGGAAGGATGGTATACGAGACGATTACGTACGTTATGCTGGTATGAAAGGACATCAAATTGACCTGACAAGGTGTCACAAATTTGAAATTCAAATTTCGAACTCAAAAACTTGAGACCTAGGTCGACAGGGTCATTTGGGACAAAAGGAAAAAGAGCGTCGAGATGACAAATTGGTCAAAGAAGTTGCGAGCTCAATGAGTATGGCCAAGAGCAATTAATTCCACTCTTAGATCAAGTTATCCCAATGGGTGAAAGAGTTCATCAATAGGTCGAGCTAGGACTCTTAGCTAGTCTGATAGAAACTTGATCATGGATGCATGTAGGTCATTGGAGTTGCGTTTAGAGGACGATTGTTTATTATTTGTACAGTAAAAAAATCAATCAAAACTCAAATTTAACTCAACTTTAACTGAACTCCACTATCTCTCATATTATCAATATAATTAAATAATATCAACCAATCATTTTTACACATCACATCAACTTTAATTCACTATTCATCCACTCACATAATTTTAACTAACTATCATTTCCAATCATTTTTTTCATACTTTACATCAAATCAACTTTAATTATTTTATTTAAATATTATTTTAATATATCCACTAATAACTAACCATACCACTTTTTTTCAAAATTAACTATAGTTAAAAAACAAACCAAATAAAAACTAGTTGAATCCATAAACAATCACCCCCTAAGGTTATTGATTTTCTCCTAAAATCATTCTTGCGCCACACATAACATGCAATCCGTCATAAACAACCACTCCAAGCATGATATCAAAATCAAGGTCTATATAATCAAATCCATGAGATTTGTTCAAATAAGCGCATACTTGGGGATTTCGCCTTTCCTCAAAACCGAGAGAGCATATTCCCCAGTGTCAATAAGGTCTTGTATGTTGTGAACTGACCTCTCCTCAGAAGCTAACATGAAAATGGCCCGAGCCTCGGCTTTCTTGGCCAGCCTTGCCGCCAGGTTGAGAGGAAGGTTGGGCGAATTAAGGGTCCTTAGTATCTGGCGGTATAAAGTCAGGACCTTGCTTCTGTTTCTGGCCATGTCCTCTGCAGTGACCCAAATCAAGCCTTTTGCCATTGCTTGACTTCCCCTGTAGCAAATACGAACGTGCAATTTTTTATGTTTTTAATTTTTTAGAAAACCAAAAGAGTGGGATCAGTCGGGCATTTCAATAAAGCAATTGGCCAACTGAAGTATATGAATTTGTACCCATCAACTATATGTGAAAAGGCAAATATATAAATGAACAAACATCTCAGGCATGTTGACAATCTTTTGAAGTCGAGTTCTATTTTTCTCTTCCTTTTTCCAGATTGATACGTATTAGGAAATATATCATTTCAAGTGATTTTTGCTCCAATACAATGTCAAGACGCACATCTATAAGGATATTGTCCAAGTGTATCACCTAGACCCAGAATGTGACCAACAATACTTATAGCTGCTACACTGCCAGAAAACCTACAGGGAACCAAATAGTAAGTCAAACTGATATAAAAATATCTGACAATTAAATAAAAGAATAAAGCTTTGTCCAAGCAAATTACAGTGTTAACATGTCAAACTGATTCTAGGGACACAAATATCCACACAGTGAGCATGGCACAAAGCCTATCAATTGATCTGTCCAGTACTCCAATGCTTCAATTCTGAACAGTTATCTCATTACTCTTCTATTTACTATGTTTTAAATGTTGAAACATCTACTAATTCATCTTTCTCCTCTCACACTCAGTAAGCATTCACATATTGCATTCTTAAAATTACTCTTCTTTCCCCCCAATGGGTTGCATCATTAGTTGCAAAAGAAGTTTGCACAAAAGCCACCAACACTAATTGCAGTAATTTATATGAAATAAAATAGTGATTTTGATATTTCCCTTAAATGTATATAATGCCCTAAATTCCTTTTCTGTAGGCGGTCGTTTACCTCCATTTTTTCACTTCCTATAAGTTACCTACTTTGATATAAAGACACATATTGATATCAACTTTTTTACATACCATTTACTTTCATGAATTATGACAGCATAGAACTCTTCACCACTATTTTCAGAAATAATGAAGCAATCAAAGAACATCAACAGCTAAAAGCATAAACCAAGGAAACAAATGGGATTCTATAAATATAATAGAAATAAACAAGATTTATCATAAATGTTCAGAGATCAGATTGGTAGGAAAAAACTCTTGAGATGCAAATGAAGCAATATAAAAGGTAACAAAGTTAAAGCAAATGTTCCATCTGAAGGTGCCTCAAAAGTTATCCAAATAAGCCCACTGTTGTCTAAACCAAGAGAACAGAATATGACTATGAGCATCGAAAACTTGAAAGTTGGGCTAATGAATGCTTCATTTACAGAGAAACACCTACAGAAGGAGAAGGCGTACCCAACATAGGCAAATTTATACCCTCATAAATACGATTATATACTAGAAACGACAAGTTAAAAATCCAAAGCACAAGTGAGAAATATTTTGTTCCAAAGATCTGAAGAATCAAATATGCAGTGATCATGAGAGCATTACAAGTTTTGCTTGAAAAGATATAGGATGCTAAAATTTCAACTTGAAGTACCCTGAAATCACATTTGAAAATTTCTATGAAACACAAACAAGTTCACAGAACATTGAAGAAACCGTAAAACCGCATCAACAAGAATTACTACATATAAACAAAAAACTAAGTCAATCAAAAAATCTGGTAATTTAGAACCTAAAACATAACAAATATGCGTGAACTTCTCTAGTCTAATACGGCCATTAATACCTCAAAAGTCAGATCACGACACATAATATCAAACATCAAACCAATCTTTTCATGCTACTAATAACTCCACACTGAAAGGGCAGGTGGGGTATTCCATCAGTTATTTTGGCACATTTTCTGGAGAATCTATGGGAAATGTGGTAACAATTACATAGAAGAAATATCAAAAGATCGAGGGAAACACACCTTTGCGAGGAAGAAATTAACTGAGGAAATAGCAATTATAAACATGATGCTGTAGAATGGGGGATAGAAAAAGTAACCTTTAGCATAAAAACACGGAAAATGTGAATCAAAACCCTAAGAGGGCAGCTGACACACACATGGAATCAGAGCCCTAATACCCAACTTTCGGTGAATAATGACATCTCAGACACATTAACATGGAAATGGAGAGCTTACTGATTAATTGAGCAACATGAAACAGAGAGTGCGAAGTTAGGGTTGGTATCGGTTTGGTTACCGAACCGATAAGGCCAAACCAATACCGAACCCCCATTTTCGGCAACAGTAAACGAGGGAACCGAAACTGAACCGACTTGTAGTCGGTAACCGAAACCGAACCGACTCGATTCGGTTTGTACCGAAAAAAACGGACTTAGCAAGCATGAGTGCATTGGGCCTCCAACACTTACTGCAGCCCAGTGGCCGACAAACTCATTACAAATCTGTAATGAGAGGCGGTGATAGCAGACTAAGCAGACTAGCAGAGTGCCCAGAATATGATGCCCAAAAGTCCAAACTATGATGCCCAAATATACAAAATGCACTTTGTCCTACATTCAAATTTCAATAACATTCAAATTGCAGGTGTAAAATACGGAATACCGAATACCAGCCCTACCTTGATTAATGTCGCGGAGGCCATTTCTGGACCGTTAATTGATTTTTACAAGAATGAAAAAAAGGTTGCAGCATAAATACCAGCCGAGGACTGAAGAAAGCGACTCCGACGAGTACAGAAGCGGACGGCAAAACGCGGCTCCGACGAGTGACAGAAGCGGACGGGCAATCGCGGCTCCAGTTGACAAATTGCGACTACCAGTACCAACCCTACGACCCTTATCTTCGAGCTCGGCTTTGTGAATGAACAATCGCGGGCGAGATGGTCAGTGAAAAATCGCGAATTGAGAACTGAGGCGTGAAATTTGTGAATCAGTGGAATAAAAATTTCATATCGTCACTCTCGGTCTCTCAGTTTGGTGTTGCTATTTGGGTTTGGAAATTTGGGTTTGGTTGGGGAACGGGAACGGGAACGGGAACGGGATTTGGGATTTGGCAAAATGTTTTGGGTGGGGAGTTTTTTTATTTAAAAGAAAATCTTTATATAAATGTTATTTAACAATACCAGCCAGTGTTTTAAGACCCCGACCGGCCCGGCGGGTCGACCTGGATCCGGAACCGGTCCGGGTGGAGTATTTGGACCGGGCAACCAAGGACCCGGTCAAATCCGGTCAAAACCAGGCCGACCCGGCAGAGACCCGACCGACCCGAGGCATTGATCCGGTCCATATATATTTTTTATATTTTTTTTTTATTTTTTTGTTTTTTTTAAAAATAAAAATATGTATATATGTTTATAAAGTAAATATTTATCATGAGATACATATTATTAACACTTTAATATACAAATTTTATACACAAAACATTTAATTTTGTTACTTTTATGTATATTTATATAACAAAAATACTCTATATATAATTTTAAAATTAATTATCCGGTTCAGCAATTGACCCGATGACCCGACGGTTGAACCGGTGACCCGATGACTCAAGGACCTGCCCAGGTTGATCACCGGGCCGAGTTTAAAAACTATGATACCAGCCCTAATAAAACTTGAGATTTGGCAATTTTAATTTTTCTGGGTGGGGGATTTTTTTTTTTTTTTAAACCTGAGTCACTGACTAACTTAACCTAAATGCCTAATCTTTATATAAATGTTATTAAACATGACCAGCCCTAATAAAACCCGAGTACTGTGACTGAGATATATAAGTTATTATAAGTTATAATGTTATATAGTAAGTTATATTATTTTCTTTTATTATTTCTTGTCGGTTTGGTTTTACCTAATCATTATGGGTTCAGAACTGATACCAAACCAATATTAGTCCGGTAACCTAATATCGATTACCGTTACAAAGTACAAACGATTCGATTTACTTTTTCGTCGATTCGGTTCGGTTTTTAGTAAAAATTTACCAATCATACCTAATACATGTTTCCCTGCATAAAGTGTTTATTTTTTTATTCAATTGATCGTAAGCAAGATAACAATTACTAAAACACATACCTCCTCAAATTTAAGAGAGCGTATTCATTAAGAATTTTAAGTGATATTTTATTTTTAAAAAATTCGAAACTTTTTATGATTTAATATTTTGTTAGAAATGTCATGTTGGGAAATGGATCATTGTCTTTGAAATCCTAATAGGTCTTAAAAAATCCATACTAAATTTAGTATTCATAACTTCTTAAATTTTTTTAAAATTTCAAAGAATATATCTGGATTTTTAAACCTCGTACATGGGAATAACATGAGAATTAATCTAACAGAGATAATAATGAAAAGGAAAAAAATATATTTATTTATTGAAGTGATACGAGAGCTGATATTGTTTGGTGAAGTGTAGGTTATATTCGGTAAAAGTAGCAACTTGCTAAAAAGTTAGCGTATAACATATAAGTTATTTTCGAGCTTATATCTAGCTTAAGACTAAAGTAGCAACTTGCTGATAAGTTAACGTATAACTTATAAGTTATTTTCGAGCTTATATCTAGCTTAAGACTTATAACTTTATGATAATAGTGTTTGATAAAATTAATTGATAAGCTATCTGAAATAAAAACTTTAACGAGTTTATTTGAAAAGCTACCAAAAAAGTTTATAAGTTTATTTGAAAAACTACCAAAGAAGTTTATGAGATAAGCTAGAGTTTTTTAAGAAACCTTCGAAATGAAGTTTATTAAATACATGAAATTTATAAATTAACTAAATAAAATATAATCTAACTTATTTGGTTATCCAACATAACTTAAATTAAATTATTTGGAGGATATATAACAGAATCAAAAATCTAAAAAAAGACATTTAGGGTGTGTTTGTTTATGAAAAAACTCAATCCATACTTAATTCATAATCAAAATCAAACTCAACTTTAATCTAACTCCACTATTCTTATTAACAATAATTAAATAATACTAACAAATTATTCTTGTACATCGACTTTAATTTACTATTTATCTACTCACATAATTTTAAGTAACTATTATTTCACACTATCTCTCTTCTACTTAATTTTACATCAAATCAATTTTAAATATTATTTAATATAAAATTAAAATTGTACTAACAATTTACTATACTACTTTTTTTAAAATTAATTCTGATTAGGTGAGAAAACTCATTTTGATTGAATATATTTGTATATAAAACGCCTTAGAAGCACTACAACGGACTCTTTTGAATAAAGTTGAAATCAAATCTTTTGAAAGTCTAAAGCCACTCCTAATTAGTCAAGATTTTTCTTGCTATGCAAATAGGGGAAATTTTTGTGGTCAAAACTGCATATGTCATCTTGATTTTCTGAGCAGAGCTAAAAATTGGATAGAAGAGATACAAACAGGAATGGGATGAAAAAAAAGGAGAAAAGACTGCAAACAGAAAAAAACAGAACTAAAAAAATGGATGAAAAAGTAGAAAAGAATACAATCAGAAGAGAACGAACTAAAAGATGGATGAAGTAGAAAAAGAAGAAAATGAACAAAGGAAAGGAGAAATCAAATGTACACTAGTTCCTTGTTTAGTTTGGTGGTAGTTTTCTTTTCTCTTTCTCTTGGGTTATTACTCAAAAGGGCATACTTTGTTATTATTGTGGTATGTGAATATAAAAAATGGTTTAAGAAATCAGAAGGAAAATGACGAAACGAACAAAGTCGAGGCACGTAAGGTACACTTTCCTTAAGACGAAATAGCCCCGTATATTATCCACGGTTCACGGCTAACGCCTCCAAGATACAACGACTTCGATTTGTGTATAGCGGTAACTCAAATACACAAACCTTCGACGAACAATACTCAAGTTTCGGAACTCTCAAGATAAGAAAAAACACAAAGAACACAAGATGAATATGAACTTTGTAAAAAAGATGCAAAGATTTTTGGAAAATTTCATGTACCAAATGATTTCATGTTTGTGGGTATTTATAGATATAGGGAGACACCTCCAAGAGGTTTAAGTGTCAAAAGACACCTTTTGGGACGTGCCCGTACGAGAACGGATGCATCTAGTGGCCAAAAGATACCTTATGGTCACCAAGGGTTGCAACCCTTTGATTTCCGCAGCCAGTTGCGCGCCCGTGTGCCACGGGCTCGTACGAGCTCATACGGACTCGGAATCGAGTTCCGTTTTTTCCTACTTGTCCCTTACGAGCCCTTCTACAATACTAGCATATATAATGCATAATTATGGCTCGTTTAGTTTGTCCAAACATTTGTCAAAACAGAATGTTTGTGAACCCTACAATCTTTGAGTTATTTAAACTCAATTAATTAATATATAATACTTAGAATTAATTTCTCATTCACCTTAAAAAGGTTTGAGAATTTCCTAAGTCTTCTACTTACGAAAAATAGAATCGTTAAATCGGTACAAAACCAATTTTTCTTACATTTTTTAAATAAAATGTTAAGGTAGAGCTTAAATAACAAAAGAAATCACTTCATCTTTTAAAAACCGCAGACATGTCTAACTATCTTAGGGTGGTGCTTTCGACTTATTTTAAAATCCCGTTTGGACATTGTCACGCTGATATTTTGTGAAATTCACCCTTTCAGATGCACATTTTTAAGTGAAAAAAAAAAAAGGCTGGGCAGTATAAATTATTGGTTTTGAAGACAAATTTATTAATTTTTGAGTAATTAGACTAAATTCAAAAGTATTCTATAAATAACCCATTTTGTAATCCAAAACACTTGGAAAACAACATGGTAATGCCAGCCTCATTTTAACACATTCATGCACCATGCATCCATGTCTCATTTATCTATCTTCAAATAGGTTTCAAATTTTCACTAATCATGGATCAAATAACATAAAATGAAAAAAAAGAAACAAACACCTAAGTAGCAAATTTCATAATCTCTAGATATTATCAAAACAATTTCAACACAATACATAATTAAAACGCCATACCATAATAGTTAATGCTACTCTCTCTCATATATCAACCTTATAACAATATATATACTCATATCATACACATAATAAAAATCTGGTCAAATTAACATTCCCAAATAGAATATGCAAATAACCTAATCATGAAAACCTAATAATCTCACGATAATCTCTCAAAGCCAAAGAGCCCCGGCATCTTTGAGGAGCGGGACGAGTGTGCCGTTGATGTGGCAAGCCATGACCGTCTCGATTCCTCCCACATACTTCCCGCCGACAAAAACCGCCGGAACCACCTGCTGCCGCCGGCCGCCGCCGGCGAGGCGGAGGAGGAGGGCGTGGATCTCTGCTCCGGAGGGGTCGCGGTCAAGCTCGACGACGGCCGGACCCACGCCAAGGCCAAGGAGCAGCTGCTTGACCACATGGCACATGCAGCAGCCACTAACGGTGAACACCACCACGGCGTTCCGGCGGACGAGGAGGCCGACCTTCTCCAGCGCCGCGTCCACGTTCACCGGCGCCGCCGACAGGTCCCCGGCGGCGACCGGCGGCGGCGGCGGCTGCACGTCCTTGGCTACTTGCATTTTTGTGATGGGCGAGTTGTTTGATGAATAAATTAAGTAATTAATTACCTTGATTTTGTAACGGATAAGAAGAGAATGAATGAAGTATGGGGAAAAAGAAAAGAGGAAAATGAGTAAACGAGAATGAGACAAAAATGAAGAAGAAAATGTGAGGTTCCAACATTAGGGCTTGCATTGTATATAATAGAATTACTTTTCCACACACACACAATGTGTGTGTGTGAGAGAGAGAGAGATGGGTACGGGCGTAGGTGTAGAGTATAGCATGCAGAAAATGTCTGGCGGCCTTGATATCTCATACTTTGTGCATTGCACCTAAATGAAATTGAAAAAGGACAAAAAAAAAAAATATATGAAATGAGTAAGAATAAGATGAGTAGAATATAGAGTAATGCTAAGGAGGCAACGGCGGACAACTCCATGTGGGGCTGTCTCATATTGGAGCCATGTGGGATAGCCCCACATGGAGTTGTCTCATTGACTGTTGGCTCCTTAGCATTATTGGTAGAATATAATGTAAATGCAAAAGTTATGGAGTGCAATAATTATTTTGGACATGGCACTGACTGATAGAAATAAGTAGGCTTTCACTTGGCTGACCTATATATATTGTAAAAATAATATAAATAAAAATATGATATTTTATAATATAACTCTAATTTTATTTTTCATTGCATACGATTGACTTCACGACCTTAGGCTGACTAACACATGAACTTGTTGTGTTTGCCATTATTTTAGCCATTGTCTTAATTTTGATATATGATAGTCCATCGGCTAAGGTAATTCTATATTTTCATCATTACTATTGTTACTCAAATATTAGAGCTTTCCTTACATGACATGCCAAATCTGCAAGTGTGTATATTGTAGATGAGTCCCAGATTCTTCTATTTTATCAAGTGGGACCACTGTTCCAGGTACCACAGATATCCTCAAGGACCATAACAGAAATAAATGTTGCTCGAGTCACTGAAATTACGTGAGGATGAAGAATTAATACATACATGTTAGTACAATTTACATACATATTTACGAAAATAGATAAATAAATATGAGAAATTCCATTCCTTGTCTTAATTGGGAATGCTATATGTTTGTATAACATTAAGGAAGTACTTTTTTTTACTTTTATACATGAATTTGGCAGAATTTTTGTCAACAATAAACGTAAAATAATAAAAAAAGAATTTGTAGAAGAGGCTAACCACAAAAATAATAAAAGAATAGCTAAATATCGGATGTACTCTTATGTTGAGTTTTATAAAATGCTATTATTTTTATTTTTTTAAGGACTTAATATGTAGCTATCTTTCTAAATTAGCAATGTTGTTTCATTGCCTAATTGTTATTAAACAGTTATATTATTTTAATTACGGTTCTAAAATTGGTAGGATCCCGTCTAGACGCTAGGCAGCATTTAAGAGCCACGACTTTTGTTTAGGCACCCACTATAGGCTTTCGGTTGACTAGCCAGTACATAGACGTACTAGACGGTTGCGAAGTTAATTACGCTTAGATTAACTAAAGTGTCTAGACGGGTGCTTAGGCAGACTTCATTGTGTTTAGGCACCTGCATTTTTTTTTTCCAAAAATAAAAATATTTTAATTCTATTTCTTATGAATTAAATTTTTATTAGTTAAATAATAAAATAAATAACCATCATAATAGAGTCAATTCAATAATTATGAATACATTATAATTGGATTTTGCACAACCTTTCTGTTGGACTTGGACCATATGGTCCAACATATTAATTAGTGAAAATAGTTTTTTTCACCCCACGAATATGTATTAAGTTTTTCACACCGCCCACTAAACAATCTAACTTTTCTCACCCCAGAAAGTGCGAAAGACATTGTGCAATGAATATGCGATAGTTGCGCGATGACATTGTGCGAAAGTTAAAAGTGCGAAAGCATTCGCATATCCCTTCGCACTTTCTGGAGTGGAAAAAGTTAAAGTACGAAAGTATTACGCGATGAATATGCGACAGTTATGCAATGCGACAGTTATGCTGTCCATTCGCATAACCTTCGCACTTCTCGGGGTGAAAAAGTTAAATTGTTTAATGGGCGGTGTGAAAAACTTAATGTATCTTTGTATTGAGGTGAAATTTTTTTTTTCCATTAGTTAATACTAGTACAACACTCTTGTATTATACGGGTGTCACTAAAAAAATTATAATTAACTTTATAAGACAACTTTGATTAAAGTTAAAATACTTATTTTATAAAATTATATTATATTTATATTTAAAATGACACCCATAGTTTGTATGATTTACCCCTCTTATATTATAATAACTTTTATAACTCATATTATAAAAACTTTATAGACAAAATTATTTAATTTATGAATAAGTAATTATTTTTTAATTAATATTAATAGATATATTATCTTTTATTATAAAAATAAATATACTTATTTACTAAAATTGAAGTTCATCATGATATGATTAATTTGATAGATCATATATAAAAAAATAGATAATAAATAAAAAATATTGACTTTTAAAATATATTTATAATTAAGCTAATCAAGTATACAAAAAATCTATGGAGTCATCGGATGATTTTCTTATGGAGTCATCCATCATTTAATATATTGACACATGTCCAAAGTGTATTTATTGCAGGACACGTATCAATACACCATTTGTCAATAACTATGGATGACTCCATAGCAAAATTGGTATTTGTTAATTAACTAAAAAATTAATTAAACATTAAATTACTTGCAATTCACTATAGAAACATATAAAAAGCAATTAAAAACTAATTTCATATACAAGTATATATAAAAACTCATAATGAAAATCGTAATTTAAATTTAAAAAAGATCTATCTGCCTGGTTTGATCTACACAAGACTAAGAAATAGAAAAAGTGAAGATCATGCGACCTATGTTGCCTTTGCCTTAGGGAGAATAAAAAAAATAAAAGAGAAGAAAAAGAAAAAAAAAAAAAAAAACCTTTTTCTCCTTTTACTAAAAAGAAGCCCAAAAGGAACACTATTCAGACGGCGTTAGGTGTCAGCAAATGTCCACGTCGTGCTTCGCGCAAAATCTTTCCTTTTTTTCTTCTGACCGTCAAACGACGGCGTGTAAGGCGTTCTCTTGTCGGCCTGTCGGTGCCCATCACGGCCCGTTAATACTGTTCGCGTGATTCACATCCAACGGCGCTGGGTTCATCCGTGTCGGCCCATAAATTAATCTCAGCCGTTAGAAATTATTTCCCGATCGTCCGTACGGTGGATGATGCTCATGCTCGATCACGCTTCCTGTGAAAAAGCAAGTACGCTCTGTGTGTGAGCTAACCCTCTTTGTACCTTGAGATTCTCTCTATCTCCTTCTGTGTATGTATAATTGTTTGTATAAATCTATGAAAAATAAATGCTAGTGTTCGCTATCGTATTACTAGTCATATTTTTTAATATAGTGGTAAAATATGAAATTTATTATGTATACATTATAAAATATGAATATGTAAATATTAAGAAATTCAATAGAGTCATTTATTATTAACACATGTCCAAAGTGTATTTACTATACATTTGTCAATATGTATTTGTGAATAAGTGTGGACGACTTCATAAGTCGTGTCATCTGATAGCTGTATAGCAAAATTGAACAAATAGCTAGCATTGATAATAGTGCAATGCAAGATTGTCAAATAATAGTATACCAAGTCAAGATATAATATAAAAATATTTTATTATTCAAGTATTATTAACGTTTTATAATAATATGTCAGGTTTAGATGTAGTATAAAAATATTTTATTAATAAATATTGTTTATATTCTTGAAAATTATATACCAAATCTAATGGAAACAACACCACATTAATACTAATATGAAGTTTATTTAACTATTTTTACATCAAACAATTTATTTTAAAATAAATATGATCTTTTTATTTTATCTCATTAAACATGTTTTTAGGTAGCTAAATAGTTTTAATGGCATAACAAACCTTTTAAAATCACATAAATAATAGTTGTTGTAATAATAATAATAATAATAATAATAATAATAATAATAATAATAATAATAATAATAATAATAATAATAATAATTTAATATATGTCAATTATTTAGTTGTTCACAATCCCTGTAAAATTCATTTTGTTTTATACAATATATATAGTGATTCATTATAAATAAAATATTTTATAAGCCCGGCTTTCACTTAGTAGTTAGACAGAAGGTTAAATTTATTAAATGTGATATGCACATTATAAAATTTATAATTTTAAATATAATATTTATATCTATGACTTATAATATTTTATTTAAATTTGTGCATATGCACATGATTGAGTGGTTCTAAACAATCGCACAACACTTCACACACACACCTTAAGATATAAATAAATGTATACATATTTGTAATAAAAATATGCTGACTTAATGGTTAGTCCGACCAATACATGAATAAAATTTAGAAAAAATAAATTACAACAATCCGAAGTCCCGAATCATCTGAAAAAAAAAACGTACCTTTTTTCACCAATGATGTTACACAACACAACGCATCTAGAACAAAACTTGACGTTATGCATGAATAAAATTTAGAAAAAATAAATTACAACAATCCGAAGTCCCGAATCATTTGAAAAAAAAAACGTACCTTTTTTCACCATGATGTTACACAACACAACGCATCTAGAACAAAACTTGACGTTATGCGAGACGAAAATCCGACCCTCCACCGGCCTCACCCTCACCCGGCCCACCAACCTCTCCATACCCGTCCACACGAGCGTGTCGGGCATGTGAAGAAAAAAGGGAAATTTTCACCTTTACTACTCGTTTTTGAAATATTTGCACATTTACCACTCCTACCAATTAAATTGTGTTTATACCTAAAAAATAAAAAGTAATTAAAGTCATGCCTAATATCAGTTACACGATATGAAACAAACTTTCCATGTTTCTAGCCCATAATTTCAGCTTTCAATCTTGGAAGGATATCAGTTAGATATCATATTACAAACTTTCCATGTTTCATTATCACATCTC